AAAGTGGAACTACGCACTATTAGAAATGAAACCTGTATTACTTGTGTGAGACCTATTACCGAGATTGTACACCTGTTTACACCATCAAAAGAGTGACGTTAAGAAACGTCAGGCGGGGAGTGTGACGCCACCGGAATTCTCAGTGCCGTTTTTGGTTCGTCATTTATCTTGCGCTGTCTTCTTCCGGTTTACGTTAAACTGTCTGGGGTAGACATTTTTTCCCGTGCGACTGGGTCGCAGTCCATCGACATTTTCCCCCAACAGCGTCTGGGACGCTCACTGGTTCCGTGGTGCAAAGGCGCAACGATGTATGTGTTTTTTCTTATTTGTAGAGTTTGTTTGTATGTGTATAAAATTATTTTCTATCATTTTTCGGAAAACTTTGACTAGGATTTTTGGCATAGTGTGTAAGATATTGTATGAGTGTGAATTCTAAATTTTCTAATTATAAGTAAAATATTGTTTTGTTATTTCAGTTGTTACCGTAACATCGTATCGTCGTTATACGTCATCATGCTACAAATTTAATAAAGTATGAAAACTGCTGGGCGTTTTTCTTCAAATCCTGTGGCAGAACAAATAGCGTAACTTTCAGTTTACATTTTCGTATAGTATATCAAGTAAATCATTCAAATCATTAAAAATTCCATATTTTTTCTAAACATGGAAGCAACTTTGGAGGGAGTTTCAGGTCCAATGGCCTCTAAATAATGTTCTTTTTTTTTTTTTTTTTTTTACATAAATCACTAACAGCTTGCATTGCTAAATACTCGTACATGTATACAGGGACCATTTTTTCTCAAATTTTGCCCTGCGAGATACATGCTGGAATTTTATCCTGGAAAATCAGAATTCGTTAAGAAAATCATAAGCGATGAGTGAATAAACGGATGATGGCATGCATCTTCTTTATGACATTAGCCTTGCGTGAATACTGCAAATGATCATTTTATAGTATGTGGACAAGAGAAAGAACTATCTCGTACATAGATCAGTTCTACTCCAGTAAGACGCTCGATATATAATTGGGACTTTAGAATTTGTCCAACTGCACGCACTGTGTGAAATAGGGAATTTTCCTTACAGTGACTTTTTGGAGGCTATTAAAATAAAGATTTGATGTATATACATGTAAATAACACACCTAAATATAATATATATCTGATGTATTATTAACCGCAATATTTAATATAATTTTTTTAAACAAATGTTTCTCGACAAATCAGACTTGATTAATTTACATGAAAGTAAGATCTCAATGTGCATGCTATTTAGAAGAGAAATTACAAGTTTTTCAAGCCCTTTCCTCGTAAATAAAATTCCTTAAAGGAAAAAAAAAATAAGTTTGCAAATTGTATACTTTGTATCGTCTTTATATTCATGTGCGTGTAGCTTAAGTTAGTCACTAAAATTTTTGTTTTTACATACATAGATGTATTCATATGCGCAGTCGCTATTTTTGAGAATATCACCCGTCGTCAAGCCATGTTGACTGTTGCTACGCTGGATGGCGTGGCTTCATTATTCAGCAGGTAATAGTGTTTTTTAACAAATGTTTCAGATTCAACTAATTTACATGAAAGTATAATATTAACACATATCAACTGATAACTATCTCTCTCTCTCTCACACACACTAGTACTTTTACTTAAATAACTTTTTTACATTAAAATTATTATAAGCCATTAATGTGCGTTAAGTATGAACATTTACCGGATGACCCATCAGAACAGCGTTTCAGGTCATTCATGATGGCCAGTCTTATGTTGGCCTGTTCCAAGATTCTGGCTGATTCAATGTGTCCATGTATGCTGCATTTATTAGATTTGGTTGTCTCTAGAAACAAAGAACCCTCCTGCTTTTCCGTAAAATTCGTTACAAAATCTACATTATATTGAGCTGCAAAATAGAATTAATAAAAAAACATTCTCCCAAGTTTTGTCAATTTCAATGTTAATTTACTTATGAAAATAAGCATAAAAACATAATATGCAACTTGATAGAACTCCAATATTATAGTTTGCAGTTAAGTGTGAAGTTTTACGTTACGTCACGATCTAGTTGACAGTTGCGCTGAAGACAAACTATACATGCCTCTTAACGCAAGCTTTACGACTGGAACTTTCTTCTTATCCCTGATAGGTTGCTCGTGCAACAGACTATTTCCGTGTCAATGATAATAATATAAAATGTTTTGACCAATCACGCGAATTGTTTACGCTGGATGCATCTGACGAAAAAGATCGTGACGTAATGCAAAACTTCACACTCAACTGAAATCAATAATATCTTTTTTCATGTAGTCTGGAAAACGAACTAAGTGATGTACCGGTTATATTACTCGAAAATATTAATAATTACACCAATTAACCAGATGTAAGAAAAGAATGTGACTATGAAACACTATACCTCCTGACAAACACTCAAAATACAAAAAAAAACCGTATTCTGTAAAACGTTGTATGATCTCTGCAGCACCCACAGGATCTTGTGAATTCATCCACAGATTTATGGTAATCTCTGTAGGTCAAAACACATTCGCTCTTACGATTACATTTTTGGGATACGTTGAAATATGATGTAAAATCTGCTCCCTTTTCTGAAGGAAAAGAGCGAAAACATGTTGCTGAAGTGGAGTTCTGGCACTGCTTCTCATCTCTCCGGTTATATGACCCATCTTCATATTTTGTAAACTGTGTAGCAATGAATATCCTTTCATTCGAAGAACATGTTAAACTGTGCTCCTTATGTCCTAATAACTGGCTCGATAAGCATTCAGTGTGCCGCAGTTCTCTGCTTTGGCATACACATGCCAATCCTACAATATTTATATAAACGTAATTCATATTACCCGGTATATAATCACTAATATTCAATAATCTTATATATTTCTGTTTACTTAGACTATAAACACGTATATCATTAAAATACTTACCCAAGGAAATAAGTAAGATAAAAATCACTTCCATCTTTAGAAACAGCAGAGAGTACTAGGAAGTAGAGAATTACATGATAGGCAACTGAAGGGTGAAGTGAGCTTTTCCTGAGAAAATAGAGCTACTTTTCTGATATGCCTAAGAAGACGATACATGATAAAGATATGTGCATGTTTGAAGTACATGTAGCTCAATATGTTAATTGTTAGAAACACGTCTGTTTTCGTGAATTCCATGAATTTAAAAAAAATGTGACTTTGACATGTCTAATACTCACTACAAGTATTTTAAATGTTATAGTCTTAAAGATGAAAAACCAGTTATTTAGGATACAACCGAGTAAATAATAATAAATTATCAGTATTACTTTGATGACGAAGTTGAAGTACCGGAACTGACTATCAGCAAATATGGAATGAAATAAGCCGAATTACAATGTTTCCCAAAGGGTACAAGTATTTTGATTGTCCTCAAAAATATCTCTTTTAATAAAGGTTAATAAAGGTAAAAAAAAAAAGGGAAATCTGATCCACCTCATCGTGAAGATATAGGATTTCTATGGTGTGAGTTTAGCCAGTAAAATTTACACTTTACGACATGCTAACTAGATTGTATATTTTGCATTTACCCCTATACAATAAATGGAATTTTACACTCTGACATATTTGAAATTTTCTAGACCCCGAGCAATGTAATACCGTTTTGAACATCACAAAAAGAACTTGTCTGGATTAAACCTTTAGTGAATGTAAGATCGTTGCAGTTTCAAATTTATAAAAGGGACATAAATCTCTCGGCTATACTGGGATATTGGTAAACATGGATTTCATTCAAATTTGGATTAAAAGTATAATTTTAGAAAGTTTTGAATACATCATGTTTTCTAATTTTTATTGTTTTTTTTTTCATAGGTAAACTATTTTCTTGAAATTCAGTAGATTAAAAAAGATGTCTAAGATGCTTAGATTCTCATCAAGTAATCAAACTCTAAATTTCAAGAAGTTCATTTTGTTTTTGACGGCATGGAAACAGTCGTGTAGATGTCTCCTTTTGGACCTGTAATTCGACTGTCTTCCAGATTGTCTCTTTTACACACAGAGGCATAAACATCCCCCGTCACCTCTCCTATGATCTGATTTCTATCTGTGTTGACACTTTCATTCTGTTTCGTTATGTTCTCTTTATTTTCTTTGTCGAACAAATTGTCATCTTTCAGGATGTCACTTTTTTCTCCAAAATCTGAAGCATTGATTAAGGAATACATTCCTTCCTGTTCCAGAAGTGAGGTATCTGTCATATCCATTTTCCCATCTTTCACTCTGTCATTTTTTCCTTCAAAATCTGAAGCTTTGCTTAAGGAATAGACCCCATCCTGCCCATGATGTGATGTGTCTGTTGTACTTGTGTTGTCATCTTTCAATTTGTCATTTTGTTCTTCAAAATCTGAAACCTTGATTAAGGAATAATCCCCATCCTGTACCGGAAGTAATGTCTCTGTCTTATCAGTGTTTGAAACTGCACGATTTGATTTAAAAGCTATGCTTTGTTTTTCAGAGTCTTTATTCTGACGTGAATTTTTCTGGACGACATCCTGGTGATTAAAAGTGCTCGTAGGTCTGACTTTCTCGTTTATCTTATGTTTGTTTAAATCAGGTCTTCTACAAAATTTCCTATCAATTAAGATTTGATATATTATTCATTATTATCAATATTAATTTTTCTTTGTATGAATTACTGAAAATCTGAAACACATTTTATTGCTTATTTCAAACAATTTTCAAAAAATCAATTGTATTTATTAGTGATATTTTTTCCCTTACTTTTAAGACTTACATTTTGACGACCACGAAAACGCAAATAGCTCCAGCTATCAGTGCAATCCCCACTCCTCCAAGTATGAAGACGAGATTCCTGCTAGATTCCCCTGGCGCCGGAGGCATCTCAGAAAAATCCTCTTCCCTACAGTCTATTTTCAGACGATCCCCTGCATATGATGAGAGTTTATAAATTTATATATATATATACAACATTTAAAACTCATAAATATAGTGAATTTTAATAGATATAGATGTAACATATGCCAGGCACATTTCTTTTAACTACCTTTTATTTCAATCCAAGACTTGTTGATGCATTGGTTTTCTTGACATCCACGTAAATTAAAACATCATCTAGTCCTTTTATGCAGGAAAATTCTTATTGTAATAAAATGCCCCACTCCATTCTGATACAATAATAATAAGGTTTTGTATTCAGTTTTCATTATTAAAAGAATTGCTACATATTTTAAGCAATTTACAAACAATATGATATTACACAGTATTTGGATCTTGTTTTTTTTTTATTGGTTTATCGCTTCTTTCTTTTTATTTATGCATTTTTCTACAACTTTTGGTCCAGAAATAATTAAAAAAAAACCGGGGGGTTAACAAGCAGTGATCGGTCTCATAAAAGTTATAAATAATATACATTTAATAATCGTGAACAAGGCATAAACTGAAATTTTAGAGGTGGGATTTGATAATAGAATATTATTCTCTTTTAGATTTAAGAAATCTTTTAAAAAGGTCAGTTTTATGTTCATTTGGTTTACTTCGTTACCTAGTTTGATTAGGAAAATTTATTGCCGGATAAGTGGAAATTTTAGCGAGACGCAAATTCAGCGATTTGTCCTTAAAAACTGGTAATTTTTTTTTTAGCGAGATGTTATAGTGATTTTAAAATGCACATCAAAGAAGCTATTACAAATAAAACACAATTAATTTTTAGTGATATTCAATTTTAGTGATCTTGGAACCCTCGCTAATAATGCCAAAATTAAATCCTCGTTAAAAAAATCTTTATACGGTATTGAATCGTTCAAACCATCAACTAAAAAGATCTATTTTAATTTAATTTGGGTTACTTCTTTATCAAGTTTGATATAGGAACTACTGAATGAACATACACACTGAGAAAAAAAACCCTGCATAATGTTAGAAGACTATTAAAAGCAGGATTTTTACAATAGGGAAAACTGCTTCCCACACACTAAACAAGCATGATTCAGAAAAGAAAGCTTTCCAAAATATGTGTAGCTCTATTCAATGTTTCAAGTCAACCCTATGTGTAATCAAGTCGATTATGAAACTAATGAAAGAAAACTTTTTTATCAACACTTTGGGTTGATTATATAACTGCATATCAACCAAATGTTTGTAACACGAACTTAGTCTGAATGCTGAAAATTCTATATGTATATACAAATACATCATCTCAGGGATAATATTCTGCGTGAAAGATTGAAAAGTAACCAATAAGTATAGTCCTTTTTTCATTTACAATGTAGGTAAAATATTCAATAATGAAAATAACAAGAGAAGGAAGAGAAATTTTTTGAGATACTAGTGCTTAGAACTTATGTCTAACCCTATTGAATGTATTTATTGCAATTAGACCTAAATATTTCAAATCAAGATGATTACAGATTCCATATAACTAGAAAATGAAAACATGTCCCCTTAGCAATACATTATCTGCTTAATAATAGTACTTTCTTGGTAAGCATAAACTGTAATTCAAATAGAAAATAAAAATAAATCAATACTGTTTTACTTGATTCTGATATCGCACCAAAAATACAATCGCATATAGTGTCATGATCAAGAATATTAATAGCAAATTTTGTTTTGATAAAAAAAAATTGTACTATACAAATACTCAATTTACATCTGTATTACTGCTTTTCTGCATTTGCCAGTGATGGAAATCCAAAAGTGTGCTTCATTTGGGGAAAAACAATAGAAAACCGTGACAATAGAGAGAATCAGAAAAATCTTAGTTTATTTGTAACAAAACATTGCTAACACTGTATGACATATGAACAAAAATTATTTTGGAAATACTGTTAAAAACCTACTTCAAAACGAGCTTGTAACAACTTTGTTGTGTCAAAGAACCAATGTTACCTGTGCATATCTGGTTGCTGTCACGACTGATCCTTAGTTCTACGTGGGTCTGCTCCAAGATTCGTGATGCGTTAATCTTTCCTGTGACATGACACCATGTCTTTGTACTCACTATTAGATACACAGTCCCTTGTCTTGTGACTGTGATATTGCTTTTGACGTGAAAAACAGCTTTAGCTATGAATAAAAATTTTCTTTGAATTAAGTACTAGTATCACCTTTATATTTAAAAAAAAAATAAGAGGAAAAATTCATAATTGGAAATTCTCTTACTTGCTAAACATTCGTAGTTTGCCATATTGCGAACTTGTTCAAAATCGTACCTTCCCCCGAGTTCACATGAATCCAGAAATTTTCTTACTGAATTGTAGTAGTCGCTAAAAGTAAGGATGCACATCCTCATGCCATTACACTTTTGAGATATATTGAAATATGAGGTAAAATCTACATCAAAATCAGCAGGAATTGAACGAAAACATTCATTTTGGTTTCCATGCTTTTGGCATTCATGTTTGGCTGTTAATAACGGATTGACTGTACTTCCTTCGTATCTCATGTTTTGTTGAGCTATATAAATCATTTCACCAGGACTACATTCTATCTTTTGGTAGTTGACAGTGCGACGTAGAGTTCCCATAGGTATACAGTCTGTATGCTTTGTAGAATAGAGTTCACTAGGTTTGCAATGAAAGACACAGCCTACAATTGATATTTCACTAAAGTTTAAAGATTTTAAAATGGCGACAAAATATTATCTAAATAAATAAACTATGGGTACTTCGTCTTCGTGCAAAACTGACCCCCTCCATTCTCATATGAGTTATACGGTAAATTGCATTTCTTGGCATTCAGATGAGATTCTGCGAATATTCCGATGAATACCTTTAAGTTTACTGATAGGTTTAGGTGTACATGTAGTGTAATAAGTAATGAATAAGGCAATGGGCCTATATACCATTCAAACGTTGGTGTGACCTAGAATAATTGAACAGTCCAGGAGCCTCCACACCCCTGTTTGAATGGTATAGCCCTTGGCTATATAAACGGCTGCATACAGTGTGTACTTTTTCAGAAACCCGCAGAAGAAGTAAAAAGTTGAAAAGAAGATAATAGGTAATCTTAGAACAGAAGAATTAAAACAGTGAAATAAAATTAAGGCTAGGGTACAGAGCGCCGGTAAATGGTAAGCCAAGAAATTGTAGTGAAGTGCAAGGTATAGTAATCCTGAATAAGGGTGAGGTACCGAGTACTCATTACAATAAGAACTTGGTTTCAGAACCAGGTGCAGGGAGCCCAATCATACAGGTAGTTCTTGGTTACAAAGAACCTCTAATTGTATCCCGCTGTTTAAAAAAAGGGACAAGTGTCCCCTGAAAATAATAATCATTATTGTAAATAATTTTAGTTCCCAGTATGAATTATAGGCTCAGATAGAGCCAGAGGAAAAGTTCATATATATTTCAATAATATTAAGACTCCGTATCCCTGGAAAACGGACCCTTAGTTTACAGGCAGCTGGTAAAGGGATACAGGGTATATTTAATTGCTAAAATCTGCTGATTCAAGTTTATTTATTGGTGTGAACTGTGTTCTGTCACCGGGTTCTCGTGAATGCAGATCAGTTACTAGTACTTGGTTCAGCTACCAGGTACAGAGTTCTGTGTGCACTGTGTTAGGTAAGTGCACCACAGTAAGATTTAATATAGTTGAGTACCAAGTATTTTTTTTTTTTGGTTACTTGGTATATAGAAATTAAACATGAATAATGAACGAGAATCAGAACTTTGGGAAGATCTTGAAAAATTGACGTTAGACGACGACAATTTAGAGAAACGTTAGAAAAGTTAAAGTCTACGCCAAGCTCATTTAATGTTACTAGGCCCTCTCTAGTTACTGATTCCGGTGTAGACTTGAGGCAAAAGACTGATGACGACAGTATAGATGAGTTGATGGGTAAAGTTGACATAAACCCCACCACTAGAGCAAGTAATGTGAAAGGAGCTATGGGTGGATATGAAAAACATAACCCCAAGCTTATGATTTCCATGTTTCTGGAACCAAAGATATTTGGGACAGAGGCGATGTTTACACCACACCAAAGTCGGCGTACTCAGGAGTGTCACTGGGTAAATCAGCATAAACATCTCGAATTTCAATGCCGCATGTACACTGGAGTACGTTAGGTGTAAGCTCAATGTCAACACCCACAAGTGTTACATGGAGTCTTGCAAAGGACAGAGAACCTATGCCGACTGTACCAAGTACACCATTAGGTGCAGCGTTACCAGTGAATGAAAACAGTGGTTATTATCTTAGCACTAACACATTTGGTAAAACTGTGATGAAGCCTGCGACATTTGATGGTACGGGTCCTGGATTGATTACAAAGTTCATTTCGAGGCCTGCAGTAGCATCAACCTGTGGAATGATAGACAAAAGGACTTGTACCTGGCAGCATCATTAAGAGGCCAAGCACAGACAGTTCTTGTGAATTTGAAAACAGATAATGCTTGTGCATATAGAGATTTGTGTGAAGCGTTAGAGGCTAGATTTGCACCGACTAAAGACGGAACTATATCGAGCCATGTTAAAGGAAAAACATCAGTTGCCAAAGGAGACACTGCCAGAATTAGGGGGGGAAAGTATACGACGTGAGGACTAGCACATTTAGCGTACCCGACGGCACCACGTGAGGTTACAGAGATGATTGTTAAACAAAAAAAGACCAGAGGCCTGTTCAGTAAAGCAAACGTTCGCGAGCGCTCGCTAAAATTACTTATACCTCCAATAGTAATTTTGACGAGCGCTCGCGAACGTTCGCACTGCTGAACAGGCCTCAGTTCATCGACGCCTAAACGGACTTTGATATGCGTCTTAGAATTCAGCAGTCACTGACCAAATCTTTAAATGACGCAGTTCGGCTGGCCGTGGAGATTGAAGCTTTTTGAAGAGCTGAACGCCAGAGAAGACATGATGTTAGTTTTGCCAGAACAGCACATAGTGAATTAGAGGGACAATCGGAAGCTGATACAAAGGTACAGGAAGATTTGAGACAATTACGAGATGAACTTCGGTCGTCACTGCAAAACCTTGTGAACAAAATAGCCACTTTGTCAGAACGCAAAGAGACCAGTAGACAACAAGTTCGATACCAAGTTCCGATCAAACAAGGTTCCCTTTTTAAGTGCCATAACTGTGGTAGGCGAGGTCAAAGGGCTAAATACTGTTATCTTACAAGGAGAACAGAGATAAGTTGTAAAACGTGCAATGCATGCACGACATCCTCAAAGGAGACAGTAGAACAATCAAAGTACTGAAAGTACTGGGAAGCGCTAAGCATATTGAAATTTTAAATTCATCAGATTTTATTTAATTTAAATTGCCTGTTGTATTGGAATTTAAGCAATATCTAGGGCGAACACAGTTGTTTGATACATAATCAAACATGTGAGTCTTCCCGTTGGGATATGAAATTCAACATTGTCTTATGCTTTTTTATTTTAAGCATTTTACATTTTCTTCTTCTGTCAAAAGATCAAGCAATTTTTCAAACATGAAATTACAAGAAAATATTTCTTCGTTCCTTAAAAAAATATATATACAAATTAAATGACAGATATTAAGTCCAAAGAGCAATGCATTTCTCAAAACTATTTATAAAAAAAGAAAGAAAAAAACATATTTTCTTTCTCTATCGCATTACAGGAATCTATAAGAGGTATATTAGCGTATAAATCGCAATTTATTGAAAGGGGGATGGTCGACGAGTTTTCATAAATGTAGCCATAAATTTGCTGGAAAATGAACATGTCTGTGTATTTCTAAATTATTTTGAACACTTGAAAATGCCGCTGAAATTCCTTTCATTGATATGCAACAACGACAACTAAAATGTTCTGGTAATAATTTTTAATAATAATTAAATTCATTGCCTGTTTACGAGTGTTGCAAATTGGAGATTGGCTGTTGGTGACTGTACTTTAATTTGAGAAATTGCACTTGGAAAATAAAGATGTTATTTGTTTATTGCGTCGATGAAAAATTCATTATTGATATATTATTATTCATTACAGTTATGAATAAACAACTCAAAAATATCGAATACAAGTATTCTTACTAAATTAATTTTAGTATATCTCTTTTTATACATATTCAAAAGCGATGTATAAATTTACGATTTTCTAGAAAGAATTTTACAAGAAATACATCAATGGAGTGTGTAAGGTATGAGTGTGTAAGGTATTTACACAATCGCTACGAGCGTCCAGTATTTGAATAAAGATAAATAAAAATTAGACTATATGAAACATTTTGTTTTGAATGGCACCCGATCCTACCTCTGATGTTGTAGACACATCTTTACAGAATTAAACTATTTATTCCTAGTTTCCTAATACAAGTATCACCGTGTACACTATTGCTTACAATTTCATCGGCACCATTCCTGTCCAATGCTAAGAAAGTTTAATTATAGTTTTTGCATTTTTCTCCGTATTTTGCGCACTGTACACACAATTTTAAAGCACATTATTCTAACAACTACTTTGTTTGTCCCAATAACTTTCAGTATCTTTCATATATATAAATGTGTTTAAGAAATTAGTTTTTCTATTTGAGGGGATTCGTTGAAAACACAGCCACCACGTGCCCTACATTATATACCTACAGCCGCAAACTGCCCTTCATTGCGAATTATTTACATCATATTTCCTACCCATATTACAAGTATAGAGTATAACACAAAGTGTAGACAGTCCTTGAATGTATTCCCGTCTGTTATTAATTGATACTTGGATGCGAAAATCAACTTCATTGATAGCTCTCTGCAGGGTGCAAGGGTGATAACAGGAAGACTTGTTTTAGTTGCATTGGTTGAAATTAGGTTCTACGAGTAGAAGAAGAAATAATTGTTTATATGGACATACGTTATATAGAATGTACATATGTAAGCACATAGTTAATTAATTTTATGCGAAATTTTCTACAAAGTGACTCAATTCCAGTTCGAGTTTTAAATACTTTTCAAAATAAAATCTCAGTTTTAAAAATATCTACTTATTTGATCACTACATTAATATTGATCACTACATTGTACATGACATTTAATACACCATTTTTAATTCAGTATTTGCGTCATAGATGCAGCAATTGTTAGCTACATGGTACACATGTGATGAATGCCGACACGATTTAAAATGAAATACAATATAGAGATAAGCATGATAAGAACAGCCCTTACCTACTAACAGTGGGTTTTCATACAATGCACATGCATATCTTTACCTACTAATTAACTCTTATTATTAGAACTGCACGTAACTCAGTACTACACTTTAATAGCCGAAAGAGAGTCGGGGATTTCCAGTTGCATATTTTTAGAAAAACCAGAGGAGTTATCTAACTTGCTTAGTGGCGCTGGATCACGAACGGAAGTAGATTTACGGTGACAGAAAGTGCTTTGCGCTGCGCTTAGCGCTTAAAAAGAGGCAAACGAGGCTAAGCCTAAGAATAGGAAGTCTAATACAAGTTCAGTCACTCAAACAAGAGTTGATGTTCAGTCTGGTTTATTTATAACGGCTAGTGTTAATAAGGTGCCTTGTACATTGTTAGTGGATACCAGGGCTACACTGACGATTTTGTCAAATAAAGTATTTGAGACCATGCTTAACACTGAAACTATCAATCTGATTCCTGTAACA